GTTCAATAGCACAGCAGGCACACATCACTACATATTTTAAATATTATTAATATCTCCCACGCCTACGATACGACGATGTGTAGTAGTAGTAACAATATTTTTTAATGTAATTTTTGACTCGGTGCAGTCAATCCAGGATCTAGTCTGACGGTAAATGAGCTAGGAGGACAAGATGCATGCCGGAAGCACCGCAGGTCGATGCGGCGATATAACGTCCACCGCACATAAGTGCACGCGCTCGCGCGTTGTATTAATTAGATTCAACGTCCGATCGGAATTGACTTAATCGACAGCAGGTGCATCGATCAAGGATAATGTTCTGAGAACGACATGCCTATACATACGTACACCGGGCCGCGACGTTGAGTCCTTAATCAAGCGGCTGATAGAAACGAGGGGCGATACGTTGTAAATTACACGACGGTCATTAAGTAGAATAATGCGTTACGTGTCAATTGTACGTACGAACAGGTGAGGTTATGCAATTATTAGCCGTAGGAAGGAACGCGTGCGATTACGTTTAAAGGAGAATTCGAGACGACTCTGGTCGAAGAACGAGTGGGGCGCACATGCGTTACGATGATGTAACCTCAAACTGTAAAGTCAGCGAGTTTTTTCCATCGCAAGAAAAGCGAAACGTTGTTACGTGTAAAGATAGATCTCCCGATTTGAATCCGTGCATTTCTCAATAATCTGGAAACTCGTCCCTCTCAATTCCAACTTCCGTTTCTTCTGCATGTAATCTAATTTAATTCTTATCGTGCAATCGTTTAATCGGGGATATGGAAAAATGGCGAAAACGGCAAAGAGAAATCGGGCGGAATTGGCTTGGCGGAATCAGCTGATCGATTGTCGCCGCGCTGTATGACGCGAGGCGCGAGGCGGGAACTTGGCGGAGATGAACGACGAACGGAAATGCGCGAAAGCTCGCACACGATCGCCGTTTCTTGCAACCAATGTCGCACCTGTGACATCGCAACGTGTATTATTATTATTACCGCGGCATTGTGTTACATATGTTACATACGACTCGAGAGGGAGGTGGAGGCGGCCGCGGTAATACGGCGTTTGAGTCATACATTACAAACTCCGATGCGTGACAGGAAGCGCCGCGCGGTCCTCATTATATATATATATATATATATATATATATATATATATAGAGACACACACACGAATCCTTTTCCCGCCTTCTCTCCGCCGCGAGATAAATTACTCGGCGAGGATTAACGCGACGAAGTGATTAAATCGCGCCAGTGATTATCGCCCATTAACGGACATACGTTGCCGAAGCTTTTGACACGCGACCGATTGTTCTATAAGCTTTCCCGCGCGATTTTTGCAACTCGCGAAGAGAGACTAACGACAATTGTATACGCTTTAATAACATTTGTAGGACGCATCTCTTTCTAAATGTATACGTTGTAATGATTGGGTTCGCGTGTACTAGATATATATATATATATATGTATATATATATCAAATGGTAAAATCCATTTGAATAGCACATAGCGTTGTATGCTAAAGTTGCGGCTTTTTCATTTTTCCCGTGTGTAAAGATAATTTCTTGCAACATATATGAATTGCATATAGCGCGAGAGTTAATTTACTTTGCATTTCGCACATTTGCGCATGACTTTGACAATTTATTCCTAAACACCATGAAAAGGAAGGAAAATAATTCATTCAACGGTTGGTGTTGTGATGCATAATTATATTTAAATTTAACAATTAATTTTTCTGTGAAAAGTCTCGTCTTTCATCCTTCAAATGAGCCCAGATAGAAATCGTTATCTGTGGGAGATGTGCATTTTTAAGGGACAGGGACACGTACGTCCTATCCCAAGTACGAAAGGGTTAAATGCCTGAGCATTGGCACACTGCCCACGGCGATGCCAGCGGAACGACCACACGCGCAAAATATCGTAATCTGTCTCACGGGGTGAGATTGATCTCACGTTCCGATTGATCGGAAAAATTTCATGTAGCACACGATGTATATTCACTATCATATACCGCTACGATCGGAATTTAGTCGCGTACCTGTGTGTATGCTGTTTCGATCGCGTCAGAGCTGTACGTCCTCCCGATCGTCGATTGAGTTCGAGCACGCCGTTAAATTATTCTTTTCTTTCTCTTTTTTTTTTTTTTACTCTATCCCTACCGTTCCTGTTGTTATGATGTCAACTTTCTGTATGGTTTGATCAACACCGACCGATAAACATTGCACTAGAGCACTAAGAGAGTGAAATTTCTCAATATGCTAATAATAGTTTTATAATATTTTAATTCTTCAGTGCGCTTCCTCCAACGAAGTTTGTCGTATTTCTGTATATCGTACGATTACTCGTCAATGCGTCAATGGTTATGATTATTAAGATTCGGCAACGGAAATTTTATTTAATAGTATTAATATAATTATAACGGGATTAAAGAGAGGGGAAGAGGAAGGGAGGGAAGAGAGAGAAAGAGAGAGAGAGAGAGAGAGAGAGAGAGAGAGAGAGAGAGAGAATAAAATATAAACAATCACAAAAAGTATAAAAAAGTTATTAAATACTGCGAATCAAGCGAAGGGGAAACGAATTATCAGAGATATTTTAAATGATATTTTCAACCGGAAACGAAAACTGATATGTACCAGAGAAAGGTATGAAATTTAATATACGAAGTATTTTGTCGAAAATTTAATTTTCCGCAGTTGCTCACTAATTAATGGTCGGTCATTCAGTCCGAGAAAATCCGATAGCTTAAAAATATCAGTTAATCGTTAAAAACAGCGTGTGTGGGATGCAAATTCCAATTTCCAAAATCGGTTTTGTGAAAATGAAGTTCCCAATGCGAGCTAGAAGTAATCTATTATATTTTCAATTATCTCTTTATGTAAAAGACAAACCTCTTTTTGATCATGTTACATACGTTAATCATTTACGTTCATATGCCGAAAAGATTGAGCCGTGGGACGGACCGATCGTCCTAGGACTTTTGTCGAACGAACTGAATTTTTATTGATTTTTCCAATATCGATCATATCTCTCTCTCTCTCTCTCTCTCTCTCTCGTTGCTCCTCGTGGACGACGAAAGCTTGCACTTAATTGACGCAACGTTCGATCAAATTAATCTAATTTAAAGAGGACGCGATATTACAAAGCCGAGCAAATGAATAACTATAACTCTTCGCCGTCGGAGAACTCGTCTATGGTTGACATCAATTGGTTCCTTTTATCGTGACTTTACGCTAATCGAGAAAAAGAGAGGACGTCAAGCCATGTGCTCTACGTTATCGGCGTCATAGGAGTGACGCGCGTAAATTCGCATTGATTAAAGCTCCGAATACAGTCGGCTAATTTCGATGATAAAGGGCGTTAAATAACAGGGTGTTCATAAGTGCCCCGCTGATGGACTTTAATTAGCGGGCGTTTCGGTTTGCACGCGCAAGAGAGTAAGAGAGAGGCAGGGGAGAGAGGTAGGGAGGAAGAGTGTGTGTGTGTGAGAAACCGGCTAATTAATCGCCTGATATAATCGAATTCGTGTTTTATTTGGTGACACGCTCTCGACGGATTTTATCAGCGGTATAACAACAAAGTTCGTTGTATAATACGCGATCGATACGGTGTTAGCACTGACTCTAAACCATATATTATTTTTTTATAAATAGCAGTGCAAACGAACGTCGAAACCAGTTCCCGTTGACGAAGACAGATTGAAACACGAGAGAATACGGGAAAAGAGAAAGAGGAGCGGTGGAGGGGGAAGGAGAGAAAGAGAGCAAGATGAATCTCTTTCTCGATACTGCATCGTCGTCGCTTTGCCGTGTCACTTCTCACCCTTCGTTACCACGCGCCACCCTCATGGCGTAGTCGAAGAAATCACTCTTTTGAAATGAGACAAAAAAGAGGCGAAGGCAGATGAGAGATAGAAATGGAAAGGGAGAGGGAGAGAGGGAGGAAGGGAAGGGAAGGAGAGAGAGAGAGAGAGAGAGAGAGAGAGAGAGAGAGAGAGAGAGAGAGAGTGTGTGTGTGTGTGTGTGTGTGTGTGTGTGTGTGTGTGTGTGTGTTAGCCAATAAGTTGCGCCAATTTCGAGATAAACTAATCGAGAAAATTGGACAGCCCTACACCATCAAACACCCTGTATATCAACTGTCAACGATGACTAATCGAGGCGTCATGTGCGTCATACACTCCGTTTATCTATAGAACGCGAGAAGTGCGATCGACTTCGAACGCCTCGAGATCGACTTCGCCCCATTTTACAGCCAGTTTATCGATTCACAACGTAGTGGCCGGCGTTTATGGTTTACCGTTATCGTTAAAGTCGACTGACCTTTCCCTCGTCCGAGCGGTCTATCGGCTGTTAAATTCCTTCTGCGCGCTATAAATAATTAATTCGTGCTTCAAAGGACCCTTCCCCTCTCTGCTCTCCTTCGCGCGGTCGTCTTCGAGACTGTCCGAAATAACGCGTGAGCTCCAAGCGACGGAGCCGTAATGAGTGAAAAAAGCGACTGGCGCTCTTTTCAAAACAGCCAACCTTTTCGAGATGATTTTACACGGAGAAGAAAAACATTTCAACGAAATTCGGTTATCGGCGGTTATCGCATTTGCGCGCGCGCGCGGGCGGTTTTCATCGGCGGGCTTCGGCGGACGAAATCACCTATTTTTGATTAAACCCTTCCCCTCCTCCCGCCGCGATATCTATATCTCTCTATTAATCTCTCTAATCGCCGAAGTGGTGTGCCCAATTTCGCATCGACGCAGCCGAATTTTCACCGACATGGGAATCAGGCTTGCCCTGTCGCGACGCGTCGCGCGCGACGTCACGCGGAGTTCCCGCGTGTTTTGTCAGCTCTCTCGTCACGCGCCGGCGCCGGCGCCGGCGAGAAAAATTTTTCGTCAAATGGCCATTTTTGCGACGGCAGTCTTGTCGCGATCGTGTCGCGATTTATTCGCTTTATCAGTCTCTGGATTCTTGGGTAATATGAATCTTTCTGCATTTGTGTTTTCAGGCCTCAAGTACCTTCACTCGGCCCGAATTCTCCACAGGGACATCAAGCCGGGGAACCTCCTAGTGAATAGCAATTGTATATTAAAAGTGAGTCTCAGACATTATTCTTGCGTCTTCGCGTCGTGTAAAGAATAAAGTTGATGCACCAACCATTCTTGGTGACTTGGTTGTCGGCTTGGAAGCCGGCTGACTGTAAAATTTTCACCGCGAGACTCGAGAGCGTCCGAAACGCTATCGCGAACACCTCGGAGCGTGCCAAATGCACACACTGAACGTTTTCTCCCCCTCTCCCTTCTCCCCTAGATCTGTGATTTCGGATTGGCCCGGGTGGCGGAGCCCGACCAGAATGTGCACATGACCCAGGAAGTGGTGACACAGTATTATCGCGCGCCGGAAATCCTGATGGGCGCGCGGCACTACACCGCCGCGGTGGACGTGTGGAGCGTCGGTTGCATTTTCGGCGAGCTCCTTCGCCGGCGGATCCTCTTCCAGGCCCAGAGCCCCGTGCAACAGGTGAGGAACCCCTGAAAATCCGGGAACCCGGATTTTCACCGGAAACTCTTTAGTCACGATTAGATATACGAATCGCAAAGACTATCGATTCATCGAAAAGGATTCAAGAAAAGGAAAGAACGATACACTCACTCTCTTATCTCTCTCTCTCTCTCTCTCTCTTATCTCTCTCTCTCTCTCTCTCTCTCTCTCTCTCTCTCTCTCTCTCTCTCTCTCTCTCTCTTTCCCTGCTCTCTGCCCGATTGTAGCTCGAGCTGATCACGGAACTGCTGGGCTCACCCACCCTCGAGGAGATGAGGTACGCGTGCGAGGGCGCGAAAACGCACATGCTGAGAAGAGCGCAGAAACCACCCTCGCTCACGTCACTGTACAATCTCAGCACCCAGGCGACGCACGAGGCCGTCCATTTGCTGTGCCAGATGCTAGTCTTCGATCCCGTAAGTCCCCCCTCGAAAGTTTATTCATTCGCCGTGGATGTTGTAGTTTGATTCGAGGCTCGCGAGTACGCGAGCATCAATTTCTTAGTGCATAGGATTTTATCCGAGACAAAAACAAAAAGAAGATCCTAATTGCAGAGAAATTTTATTTAAGAAAGAATATAAAACAAAGTCGCGGTTTGTTTCATTTATAGACGATGAATTAAAGCTCAACGAGTTATTTTAATATTTCGAGGTGGGATAAAAAGAAATATCTCACCTCGTACTGTACGTGTATAAGTACTGGGAAGCCGAGGTGCACTTCTTATCCCCCAACACTGCGCCCCAAAGAGTTAATTCGTTCGTTTGTGAAAAGAACCATCATGGATCGCGAGAAACAGTTTCCGCGAGTGTATGCGGGTGTATACAAACAACGTAAACATGTATATACATGTGTGTGTGTGTGTGTGTGTGTGTGTGTATGTATGCGATACGTGTCTATCGTACAGGACAAGAGGATCACCGTGGTGGACGCCCTGGCACATCCTTATCTGGACGAGGGCCGACTGCGGTATCATTCGTGCATGTGCACGTGCTGTTACACGACAAGCGCCGGGATGCGGCAATACAGGGTGGACTTCGAGCCGTCGGCGACCCATCCCTTCGACGATCTCTGGGAGCGAAAGCTCACGAGCGTGCAGCAGGTGAAAGGTGAGAGGGATCACCCCCGCCGTCGCGCGGGATTTCAACACGTCGGGAAACTGAACGGGCGAACAAACGCGGCGACTGCACCATATTTCGCGTGGCGCGCGTTTCACTCCGCGTGAGATTCGTTAGCGGTGAGACTGGGAGGGAGAGATTGGGAAAGGAGTGAAAATTTATGATTTTAATTATTTCCGGCTCTCTACTTTCCTCCCTCCCCCCTCCCCCTTCTCTCTCTCTCTCTCTCTCTCTCTCTCTCTCTCTCGGATGATAAATAAAATTTATACCGCCGAGCTTGTGCGCGCGCTCTCTTACACGAGGAAGCCAATTGATAGTTGCAAGTTCGCGCTTAACGGTACAAATTGCGAGGCAAATCCGGATTGATAGTTGAAAGTTCGCACTTAACGGTACGGTAAATTGCGAAATAAATCCCGATATATCGCCCGTAGAATGTCTCGCATATTGAGAATAGTGACGTGCAGTAAGTATCTCAGACACGTGGCTGGCGCTATTCGAGAACAATAACCGCGATAAACGCTCTCGCGCGTGTGTGTGTGTGTGTGTGCGCGCGCGTCGCGATAAATCATAGTTTATCTCAGCAGTCTCGGCCGGAGAACTGTGAAGTTCTCTCGTGTGTCTTTTCTCGCAGTAAACGTGGATTGCGCGAGTGACGTTAAAAAATACCCCGCTTTCGTCAGTAATCTCGTAACTCATTTTTACCGGACACAGAATTACATTGAAATTCCGAGGCGGCGACGTCATATACGGCTAAAGAGTGCAATTCGCGAATAAATTTCATTATCTGCGATGGGAAACGTGGACAGAAAAAAATATGCGCCGCGTAAGAATATGGAAAAATTTGCAAAATTC